ACAGGTAACAGAAGGATGATTCTCTTGAAGCAAGAACGCCTAGAGAAAAATGTAGAAACATAGAAGTCGCACAGCGGCAAATTCATCTAAAGTGCGTAACATTTTATCCGTATAATCCTTGGGGTATCTTCTTTTTTAGATAATCCCTTTGAAGGTGGTATCCTACCGGCTTTCTGAAATGTAATTTCTCATACATTATTTGTTTTGTGCAGCCGGGGCAACAGGAATGAGACAAATTTTGGAATATAAAGTGGTAGGTTTATTTTAGCATCCATCTCACAAGCGTTCTCCTCGTACCTTGAGCAGAAGCCCTACTTATACATATGTGTACGTCACGAGGCTCCTCCAATCAGCGATATTAATTGAAATCACGAGGTGACGCTATCTTCTCATCAGGAGTGTTCTTAAGGACTTTATGTAATATGACAGATTTATGAGTTTGGCGATTTGGCGGGCGCCAACAGGTTAATATATTTTATACTAAAGAAAGGATTTCGCCAAAATTTAGGAACAGGGATGCAATTTAGGTAGAGAATCGCCAACACATTATTAAGCAATATTAATAGAATTTAATTTAATCAATTGATTTAAAAATATCATTACATATATATATATGTATGTAAATATACACAATTACAATTTACTAAATTAATTACATGTATACAGTATTCATAACAATATCTTACTAGACACTATAATGTTAATATTATTATGTATTCTTACTGGAATGTAGATTTCTTTTAATGAAATAACATTGTGGCAATTACCCGTAGTTGATCCTTGACTTCTTTGTAACCACATCCTTCATAAATTAAACTACTCCCACCATCTTGCCCTCTTGATTTTTGGATGAAAAAATGAATAAAAAGTGGAAAAATGTGAAAGGAAATAAGGTACTTTTGGGTTTATTATTTACATTTAAAATCTCTATATCCTCAAGAGTCATTACATTATCATCACAAATTTAATAATCTCTATGATCTATCTTTAGCCCACAAAACAATGGGCAATCTGATAATTACTGATTTAGTGAGATGATGATGGGTATCCTGTAATATTTTCTACCATAACCTCAATAACAAGCTCTCCAATTTCTGTAAATTTCAAAGCAACAGTAATGTAGCACAATTCTGCTTCTCTAATTTGAATCACAAATGTATAGCTACCAATCTTGAAATCTTAAAAACCACGAGAAACTCGAAGGTTTTCATGCTGTGGAGCACAACATTTCAAAAAAGTCCAAACTAACTTTATTTTATAATGCTTTGGTCAGATTTTTAAACAATTTGTAATTCAATTCTGATGTAAAACATATTAGCATTTAATTGGATATTCTAAATTTTATGTTCTTTGGTTTCATTTTAATATTTTCTTACACTTTGATACCAAAAAAACCCCAAGCAATGAAGGAAAGTTTTTATATTTATCAAAGCACTTTTAAATGCGATGAAAATAAAATTAAAAATTAATGTACACTCTGCCCCCCCTCAAAAAAAGAGGACCGTTCTATATCTCCCACTCAACTGGGTCGGTAGATGAAATTCAACTTGCGTTTTTCATGTCTTGAAAGCACGACTTAGGAGATGTATTAGATTTATATATAGCACTGTTTTAATATAAGTATTTTGACACAAAATCAGAGTTTTTCTGAAATGGCATGCCAAATTTATTCCATATTTCAATTCTAGGACTCAAATTGCGCCAAACTACCAAGTTTTGTAAAAATTGCATGAGTAGTTTTTAAAAAATTAGCCCTCAAAATTTTAGCTCCTCAATGTTAATTGAGCTTGGTAGATATTTATTAATCTCTCTTTATTAAACTTATTTGATTCTTTCTTTCACATTTCGAAATTCAGGGTCATTCCAAATAAAATTCGGGCATTTTTTATGATTTATATTTATAAATTAAAAAAAAATTGAATTATAATCTGTAAAATTTTTATGATCATCTTAAAGTAGACATATTTCTAAGCATACCTGCAAACAATTAGAGTTTTTTATTCAAAATTTCCGAAGATATATGCGAATTTATTATGTACGTTTTCAAATTTGGCATATTTGTTGAAAGCTATAATAAAATCAAATGTGGTTTAGGCACTAGTTAAAAATTATTTGAAAGTATGAATGATGTGACTTTTTTCTGCTCATGCACAACGAAAAAAGGGAAAGGAAAATAGGCTGCCATATATTAGTTTGCCATTTCTTGGCGCAAGCTGAAAAAAATAATAATCAATTATGTTATTTCAGAAAAAGTACGATTTTGTGTCAAAATACTTATGTTAGAATAATGCTACATATAAATCTAATATAAATCACAAGTCGCGCTTTTTTTTACATGAAAAATGCAATTTGAATTTTGTGAATCGGCCCAGTAAAACAACTTGCATTTTCCGTGTTTCGAAAGAATTCTAACATACGTATTTTTACACAAAATCGGACTTTTTCTGAAATATCGTAGCAATTTTGTTTCCATATTTCGATTCTATAACACAAATTATGCCTAGATATTACATTTCGTAATTTTTGGTGTCAAATTTAAAGAATTATCTTGATGTATATTTTTCAGTTTTTGCCAAGAATAATTCATTTGACGAACTTCTTAATTTATAGTAACCTATTTTCCGTTTCTTTTTTTCATTGTACATGAGGGAAAAAAAAAAAAAAATCAGCGTTCATACTTTTAAATAATTTTAACAAAGTGCGTAAAGCACATTTCGTATTATTATTGCTTAGAGCGAATATGGGAAATTTTGAATAAAAAATTCTAATTTCTTGTAGATATGCTTAGAAATACATCTACTACATAAGATGCTGTTAAAATTTTTGTAGGTTATATAACACCAAAAGTTTTTCAAAAAAATTTATAAAAAATATTTTAAAATACAAATTTTAAAAAAAAATAATAAAGAATGTGTGAATTATATATGGATTAAGCCTAAATTTCGACACCTGGAGGAAAGAATCATGCAAGTTTAATAAAAAAGTAGATGTCAATAAATATGCATCGAATTCAATTAAACATGTAGGAGCTAAAATTTTGCCAGCTAATTTTTTAAAAACTACTTGTGCGAATTTTACATACATTGGCAGTTTGGCATAATTTGAGTTGTAGAATCGAAATATGAAAAAAATTGGCATGCCATTAAAAAAAAAAAAAAGGCTGATTTTGTGTCAAAATGTCTATATTAGAACAGTGCTATATATAAATCTAATATATATCCTAAGTCATGTTTTTGTGACATGGAAAATGCAATCTGAATTTCGTGAATCGTTCCAGTAGAATGGGAGATACAGAACTGTCCCCTCTTTTTTTTTGCGCAGTGTACACAGCACTGTTTAATTGGGCATGATAGCTGATGGAAAGTTTCCTGTACAAACCCAATTAGTTCAATTTGGTGTTATTATTCTCATATAATATATTTACGTAATTAAATTGTGCAGTGCATGATGGGCTGCTGAAGACTGTGAATTTAGTTCTCTAACATCTTTTAAATTTGAAAGTTCCGATGCAGTAAATCTTAACTCTTATAGAAGCTTTTAAAATAGGCTAATAAGTGGGAACAATTAGTGATTTTTTTATGACAGTTCTGGTATTGTACCTATCTAAAATCATGTAGCTGCATAATAGGAGTTGTGAAACATTGTTTTGTTCACTACTGTTGTAACTATGCATGATTTGTTAGACTGAGCAATAATCAATACATAACTGGATAACAATTCATTATTTGCATAACTTTTGATTACACGTTACTCACAATAGCAACGTGCAGGTAGTTCACCAGATATGCTGTTTCAAAGCTATTCAGTCGCATAACACCATGATAATCCATCATTTAAGGAACTATGATAAATCTACAATTATTAATTTTCCAACACTGAATACACTTCTAATAGAAAGTGTGGAGATGCATATATGAAGCTCTGTGATCAGGCTACATGATACATGAAACTGTTTACAAGAAGATAAGAAAACAAGAAACTAATGAATTAACAATTTTAATCAAAGCAGCAAACTAAAATTTATAGGAAAGACAATAAACTTTAAAACAAATTTCTTCATTTTGTTGAGATCAGGGTTTCCAAACCCCTTGCTTTCATCAATCCATTTTAGAAGAAGGGTTTTCTTCATTAATTCCCCTTACATAGTTTGTAATATACAGCATACAACATAATAATAATACAAATAAGTGCACTTAAATAACTTTAAAGACAGCAATTATACTAGGAATGTAAACAAATGCTTTGAAAAAAATGTTTTACTGGATTTATATTTCATTGTTTTATATATTATTTTTAATTTTTAAATATAAACAAATTTTCAGATTACACAAAAGTTGTATTTTTAATTAATATTATCTATTATTACTATGTTTGACGTATTACTTTTAATATTTTGCATACAAATGTTTAACTTAATTCTCAAGCACCTTTTTAAAAAAATATTTCTTTTTTTTTTTTTTTTTTTTTTTCCGTTTTATGTTTCGTTTTCTTAAATTATTGGCTTGGTTAAAATCTCATTCTACTAAGCAAGACAGTGGAAAAGACAATAATGTTGGTCAGCAACAACTTTTATTTGGGGTATTTCTCTCACGTGACTAAAGCTTAGCACACCCTTCATGTGATATGACTTAATATTATTAGTAAATATTTTTGTCATCTATTGATCTTCATTACACCAATCAATTGCCAGTGCATATTCACCTATCAACCTCCTTTAAAATTTCATTCACCCTCAGGGATCCACACTGACCTCAATGGCAGCCCCTGATTTAGATCTATACAGCCAATTCTTTAACCTGTTTTCAGATCTCTAAAAATAACAGCTGGAAATCACTGATATTAAAAACATTTAAAAGAAATTATGCAAACTGCTAGTCTTTAAAAGATGAGCAAAGTAACAAATTCTGTCAGAATGATGGCATATGAATCATATTTCCATGTAGAAATACTGACAATAAAATTAAAATCTTTCATTTATAAATTTATTCAACAATCCTTACCTCTATACTTTCATATGTATGAACTGGATCTGAAACTCCTATGTAACCAAATGCAAAATAAAAATACACACATGCACCAACATCATAGGATTGTGTAACACGACAAGAAGCAAATGCTGGATACTGTATTCCGTGGCTGTGCACTTCTCTGTGTATTCTATCTTTTACATTTCTACACAAATCAGTAACTCTGAAAGATAAAAAAGGTGTATTCATATTCAATTTCAGTATTTCATAATTAAGCATTTCATAATAAGCTAATTGCAAATACTTATATAATGCACCATCAAACTGTACATGTGGAAAAATTAATAAAAAAATTATATATAGCAGACATTGCTTAATTTGATCCCCGTTTATATTATCTTTCAGATACTGTTATCAAATTGTCCAAGTCTCACCCGAACAAGAATATGGAAATACATTGCTTATTGTAAACAACAATTTGGTTAATATTATAAAAGTATTATAGAATAATTTCTGACACGGAAGTAAAGTTAAGAATAAGGTCAAATTAAATTAACAAAATTTGCAAATAATTAGAAAAAATGTGATTAAACAATTTTTTCTCCCAATTTCATCAATCGTTTAAAATTAGGCCCAAAAGCAACCTTTGTTTGGCTGAGATTTTGAATACCTCTATGATTTTGAGAATGATCAGAGATAAGTTTCTCTTCTTCAACAGCAAAAAAAAGTCTGAAGAATCTTCCTCTTCCCAGCTGCTTGGAGAAAGAAAAACATCAAATTTATACTGTTTTTTCCTCTAATTTTAAATTTTACATTTGCATGTTCTGTTCCAGTGCATGAGGGATGCCCTCCAAGTATTAAGATTAGGGGTATAGCGTTAGTCAAAATGATTTATAAACTGAACTATTGCATTAGAAACATCATGAACAATTCATTGACAAATTTTTGCATATTTTCTTAATTAAAATTCTGTGAAAGTACTTATTTATATGTTTCTTGTATTTATATTAAATTAGTTAAATTCCATTGCTGTTTTTTTTTTTCTCATCGTTTAGTGTTATCTTCAGCTAATGTTATCAAAATAGCCATGGACAATTGTGATCACATTAAGTGGTGCCTAATGTAATATATATTTAAAACTTTTTCACTACCATAGAAAGTCATCATGATGAGAAAGCCACAATGATTCAAAGATCAGACATCTTAGTGTAATACTTGTGATTTAAGTACTTCGACTTTTGTTGTACAATCTATTTCGAAGAAATGGTAAATAACCAGTCTTATTATACTAATGTCGTGAAATGTTTTACACTAAAACATATACACTCCATCACAAAAAAATAGATGCACTCAAAACAAAAAATCAAGCCAGAATCACGAAACCTGGCAGAAATATAGTCTGCTAAGAGATATGCAAATGATTTAAATTTCGATGCCAATGAAACAAGGGTAAGTGTGCTATGCATAGCTGGGAGAGTTTAAAAGCATGATTACTTGTGCCGTAGGGCTAAATGTTGGCAACAATGTATCATAGAAGGGATAGTCTACCATTGCAAAAGGTCAGGATGTCCAAGAAGCACAAATGAGCGCAAGGACTGTGCAATCACAAAAGTGATCACTTCCATACCAACAATGTCGATAGCATCTATTCAACGCCATTTACCACATTCTAGGCATTCACTGGTATCAAAGGAAATCATTGGGAGTTGACTGGCCAAAGCTGGTATATGCTGCTGCCATCCATTAAAATGCCTATCACTGACCCCTTATTATAGACAATGCCGACTGGATTTTTGCTGAACTTGGGCAAACCAGAGTGGGACCAAATGGAGGCATGTGCTTTTCAGCAATGAATCCCAATTTTTCATCTCAGAGCTGATGACCAGCACACACGAGTGTGGGGAGGCGGCCAGGCCAGCGGTCCGATACGGTATTTGCTGTCGAGCAGCAGATAGTGATTACACAAGATGTGACAGCAAGATTTGTTGGGATACATGATCACCTCTAGTTGCCCTTCAAGACATTATGATGGATTGCAGTCATGTGGATAACATTTTAATGCCAGTTGCACTGTTTATGCTATTAAGTCGCCCAGGTGCAATTTATCAGCAAGATGATGCTTGTCTGCATACTGTGTGACTCTCCCAACAATGTCTTCAAGGATACCACGTACTCCCGTGGCTTGCAAGGCTACCAGACCTCTCACCAATAGAGCACATTTGGGACATGCTTGGAAGGTGCAGCTATCGTGAAGTACTGGAGAATTAACTGCCGACTTGCAAAGGTTATTACATGATCTTCTGCAGGGTGTCATAGGCAACCTATTTGATTCGATGCCATATCGTGTTTCAACTTGTATAGCTGCCAGAGGTGGCTTATACAACTTACTGATATGTAACCTCTTTCATGTCATAACTTTTTAACAAAATGATCTTTTGTTCTGAATTTGTAACTATTTGTTTATCTCTTCATATACTACATAGACATTTTGTGATAGTAGTTCGTTTCTTTCTGGGTGCATATATTTTTTTAGGGACAGAGTGTATATGAACATTAGAATTGTAATATTATTATAAAGAATACTATGGTAAACAAATACGTAATATATAGTTTAATGTGTTATATCGTTTTTAACATGATCACATATATCCATGACTTTTTTAGTAATATTTAAACAATAAAACAAGATATCATTCGAAATAGCAATGGAATTTAACTAGTGTAATGTATTTAGAAACATACAAATAATTATCTCTACAGGATTTTTATTAGGGAAATGTGAAAGTTTGTTTCTGAACTGTTCATAAAATTTCTCGAAATTATTTGACCCCTAATCTTAACATTTGGAAGTCCATCCTTTATTCTAAGGGAACATGCCAATAAAATTCAGAATGACCAAGCGAACTGAAACCTTTCAGATTTTAACAGTCACCCAAAAAGATTTGTTTAAGATTTTTATGCTCTTGCTGAGCTCACAGTCAACCAGTCTGCCCCCGCTATCCCATTATTTTCATCTTTCTAACTTTATTATTAAGCATCATTTTCTGCACACTTGCATACATTTCAACAACAAAATCAGAAAACTTTTAAAGCTGTATAGAATTCCCTATGCAGTGTTAAATGACTGCATACACTTTTACATTTTTTATTAGTCTTTTCTCAGTTCATGAAATCACTATTCAGGTTTCTTAGTAAAATGGTTAACAAAAAATTATTTTGTCTTTTTATTATTAACTTTTATTTTTTATCTTTATTAAATATCACGTTCTTCACATAAAATTCAATTCAACAGTAAAATCAAAAAATATTTAGAAACAATATATCTTTAGAATTCCTGACATGGTGTTAGAGGTTGCCACACATATTTTTATATTCTCTATATTATTTCTTTAAAAACTAGCAATCAAAAACAGTTACCATAAAAAGTACATAATGATTTTAATGAGTCCAGCTAGTGTATAAAAAGTAAAAAACACATTCTTAAAAACCATGTTTATTGCTTTTAAATTGCTAAGTTTATTACTCAATAAGCTTTAAAATTAAAACTGAAAGTATCTTAGGCTTTGCTGAATGGCAACATGCTGACACATGGAAGATAAAAGTATTTTATTTTTGACTGTGACAATGCACTGCTTTCATGCAGCTGAGGTTGTTAATTAAAATTGAAAGATAAATATCTTGTGTTTTTAATGGTTGCCATTTAGTAATATTTAGTTTATAGCAAACCACAGCAAAATCTCATTTCAAGACTAATAGTCCCTTCTGGACAAAAAATAAAGCAACATGAGTAGATGCTTTCATAACTTTTTATTTTGAGTGGGAGGAAAGTAAGGAAATAGGTGAAAAAAATTTTCTGCTCTTGAAGAAGAGGAACGTATGTCTGACCGCCCTCAAAATTGATAGAGGTGTTCAAAATCTACACTAAACTAAGGTTGCTATAACCCTGTACTTGACAACATTTATCTGTCACTTGGCTAGTTTTATAATCTGTTTTGACCTTGTTTGGAGACTTATTTTAATTTAAAAAAATTATAACTGTTATATCATATTAACTAAGTTACTATATCATTACAAGCGATGTATTTTTCATGTTTCAATATACAAATGGAATTTGGCAAAATCAATATCTGAATGATAACATTAAACACAATCACACTAAATAGTGTCTACAGTATATGAAATGTCTACATTCAATTTTAAGCATCAGAAAGTGCCATTTATGTAGGCACTTTGTGTATTAACCAATAGTTTGCAAGGCCATCAACATTAGTAATAAAATACAGTGGCAATTTGTATATAAATGCTTATCTGAATATTTCGGACTGCATTCATTATATAAATCATTTATTACATAGGATGCACTTCTACGTAGGATGCCACGGATTACTGCAGGAATAATTTTAATTCACTTCTCAGATTTGTCCAAAATAAATTAATATAGTAAGACAATTCCAAAGAATATTAAAAACATTACCAATGTTGGAAATGACAGGAATTTACTTCTTAATTTGCTAAAAAATATTTATGTACAACATGTATTTACATGTATTATAGTTCTTAGTTTAATTCAGAATGTTACATTTTTAGCTTACAATTTAAAATGGAAGAATGGAAATATAATACCCTGAACCATCACAGATGCAGAACTTAGTTCTATTACAAACAGAAGATTCAGATGACTGTTTTTTATGGGTTCTATGTCAAGAAGGTATCTTAAGTGGCTAATAAATCCCTCTTTTTCAGTATGCCTTAAAAGGTGCATAGAACTACCATGGCCAAATCTACTATTCTTGCATGTTAAGTAAGAAGACATATGACATCACAATTCAATAAAAAAACAAAAATAATCTAGTAGATTTTTATTCCTATTAACAATAAATCTTATCTTAATTAAGTATTTTACTCACAATTTTGGCCATTGACTTGGTTTGCTTGATTATTGCAAAGCACATTAGGGTTATCTGATTAACGATAAGGATGCCTTCGTAAAACACTGAAAGAAAACTGGCTCATGTCCACATTACATACGGAGAAAACAAGAAAACAAAAATGACCCTGCAGCCAGCCCATTCACCGAGATTTTAACCCAGGTCAAACTACCAGCATTCAGCAACTTAACCAATAGGCCATTGATAAGCACTAATTTTAGACATAGGCAAGTCTTTAATCTTATTACAGTAAAAAAACCTGACAGTCTGGCATTCAACTAACTGGGAGGTTTAA